GCACAGCAACGAAAAAGCTAAATCCCAGGACTGGTGAGACAGGTCAGTGGTTTAAGAACACTTGCTATTCTTCCAGAGGACCCAAGTTTGATTCCCAGCCCAAACATGGTGGCTAACAACCATCCATAACTCTTCTGGCCTCTGCAGGACATTGCATGCACATGGTGCACTTATATACATGTAGGCAAAACACTCATACATATAAAATTTAAAAAATAGAAAAAGAAAGGAGGGGAGGGGAGGGGAGGGAAGGGGAGGGAGAAAAAAGAGCTAAACCCAGTAAATAAGCAGCAAGTACTTATTGGAACTAAGAAGAGAGAACAGCATTAAACATCATTACCCCACTTAAAATCGGTTCAAGATCCTCATTACTCTCAGGTTAAAGTCTAAATTCCCCAATATGACACGGGAAGCCCTGCATGTTCTGGCCCTGCCTGCCCACCTGCCTCTCACTCTTGTCTTCAGTCTGCAGGTCAACTCTCATTCTTGTTTGGGTGATTGGTGGTGGTGGTGGTGGTGGTGGTGGTATCTCCAGCCCCAGGTTTTGTACTCTTGCACTCTCTTTCATGTCTGGGTAGTAAGCTTGATTCCTTTCCCATTTTTCAGAACCCATGTTAGCACCTCCTTCCTGAAGTTAGGGCAGATCAAGGCCTCTTTTGCTTTTAGTCTGCTGTATTGATTCTATCACTCAATTTGATCACACTGTAAGAAGTTTTATTCATTCACTCTACCTTCCCTTACTTGCTTTCTTATCACTGTATTCTCAGTGCCCAGCAGGGAGTCTAGCACAGTAAATGCTTTAAATTTGGTGAATATGAGTGGCTAAATGAACTTCCTAATGATTCAATGGCTGGCCAGACACTGGTCATTAATAGAAAACATTAAATAATACCAAAGAACTACTCATGAATTACAAAGGAGAAAATGGTTGGCAAGAGTGGATCCAGACAGCACCAAATATCAGGTCCTGGGGTAATGTTCTGAAAGATCTTACCCAAGTCCTGCACCATTTGCAGTGTCTCAACCATAGTACTTTCCCCTTCTTGCCTGTAGGTCTTTGCTATGGAAAGGGGACCAAACTGCCAACACCACTACTCACAAGCTGCCCAACTATAGTTACTGGAGTGTTAAATGAAAACAGAAAATGTTTCTGGTCTTTCCTCCACTTCTCAGAATAGGATTTCAAAACCAAAGGCAGCTAAAGACTATTCAGGTTGCTGGTTTTCACACCAGCCTCAGGTGCCATCTAGGAGAAATGGAGCAGGAGAAGTGTGAGCAGGTTCTTTCTCTCACTTGGTCAACCAAGGCAACTGGTTTTGATTTTCTACCATACTGTTACTCCAATGACTGACTGCACAGATTTTATTTAAAATAAAATGACCTGTTTGGCCCAATCCTCAGATTTTAAAAATAAGAAAACAGACTCTGAAGTAAATATTGTGATCTTCCCCCCCACCCCCCGCCAAATATTGTAGTAAAGCCAAAGACTTGAGTCTCTTGATGGTCTAGCCAGCATTTTTCCCATTGTGCAAAATCACCTTCCGACAATTTTTTTTTTTTTTTTGTATTTTACTTTTTTTGAGACAAGGTCTTCCTGTAGTCCCAGTTGGCCTGGAACTTGCTATGTAGACCAGGCTGGCCTCGATATAACAGAGATCCATCTGCCTCTGCCTCCCGAGTACTGGGATTAAGGGGGTATGCCACTATGCCTGGCTTCCCTAAACTTTTAAGGACTTTTACAAAGTATTCTGAGCATTAGCCTATGCACAGAAGAAGAACAAAAGGGTAGATCAGAGGAACAGACAGGCAGAGCTGAAAACTGAGCACTACTATACTCCAGCCAATAAGGTACCTCAAATACATGTGTTCTTCAGGGATCCCAGATCCACTGTTGGTATGTTTGTTTGTGTGTGGTGCTGGGGATCAAACCCAAGGTCTTATCCCTGCTAGAAAAGTGCTCCATTCGAGGCCTACTTTTTATGTTCTTTAACAAATTATTCCCCTGAAATTTTTGCATCTACACAATGACAAAGTGGCAATCCCTGGGTACAAACAGTGTCAAGCAGAAGGCACTGCACATAGCTTATGACAGACAGTAACCATTACTGTTATTAAGCCTGCACAATAATGTTATGGGGTACACACCCTTGAACTTGCCCCAGGTCACACAGCTGTTAAGAAGGATAGCCAGGATGGTAACTCCAGGTCTTGTTTGAAAGTTCATATTATTTTTTTAATTTTATTATTTTTATTATGTGTGTGAGTATATATGTATATATGTAAGTGTACCTGTGTCATACAGTGCCTATGGAGGCCAGAAGAGGGCATCAGATCTCCTGGAACTGGAGTTACAGACAGTTGTTAGCTGCCATGTGGGTGCTGGGAACCAAGCCCAGAACCTCTGCAAGAGCAGCCGGTGTTTTTAACCTGTGAGCCTCTCTCCAGCCCCTCAAAGTTCATCTTCTTTTAAGACCACTATGCTGTTCGGCCAAGCCACAGATCTCTACACTTCAGTTCTAATCTCTGACAAAAAATCTTGCATAATATGTACTTCATCTCTACCTTTTTGTAAAAAATTTTAAAACTTATTTCTTATGTGCATGAGTGTTTACTGTATGTGTACAACGCCCACGGAGACCAGAGAAGGTGTCAGAACCCCTGGAACTGGAGTTACTGTTGTTAGCCACCATCAGTTGTAGCCACTATGTGGGTGCTGGGAACCAAACCCAGGTCCTCTGGAAGAGCAGCTACTGCTCTTAAACGTGAGCCATTTCTCTAGCCCCCATTCTATCTTTTTACACTGCTTATTTAGCACATGTGACCACCATATATGTACATTAGGAGATCAGAAGTAGTAACTGGCTGTCTGTAGGTGGCATCTGGGAAGAAAGTTGTTCATACTAAATCTTAGAAAATCAAGGAAGGCTAGCTAGCCCCACACTTTGTTGTTCTGTGTTTGGAGACAGTATCTGACCCTATAGCCCAGGCGGTCCTGGAATTTACTATGCAGCCTAGGCTAGTCTCAAAATCACAATCTTCCCGCCTCAATGTGTTCTGAGTGCTGGGCTCACAGGCATGCACCACCCAGTCAGTCCATTTTTTTAAAACCAGTGTCTCTCACGCCAATGTCTAGCTCATCTAATTTATACTAGAAAGATACCAATTGTCTCTCGTTTGGGGCTCAGTTCTGCCAAACTTCTTAAATCCTTGTTTTTTTATTTTTGAGCTAGAGTCTCATGTATCCCAGGCTGGCCTTCAACTTGGTATATAGCCAAGGATGACCTGGAACTTATGATTTCTCCTGCCTCCACTCCAAGTGCTGGGACTATAAGTATATGCCACTGCACCTGGTTTATGTGGTACCTGGGATCAAACCAGACATGCTAGACAACTGAATTACAACCTCAGTCCCTTGAACCTACTTCTAAGTGGCCCCTATCTAGCTCTTTAGAAATGGACTCTTCCTCCTGTCTTGGCAGATCAGGAAGGTCTGAAATAGAACATAATCAAGTCTGCCCTGCCCCTTCTCCCAACACAGTTGCCATGATTCATTTCCTGTTCCCAACAGTCACTTAAAGCAGGGGTCATCAAGACTTTTTCTTTACAGTTTGATAAAGAAGTATAGAGACTTAGCTTGAAGTAAATATCTTAGGCTTTGGGGGACCTAGGGTGTCTGTTCCAACAATTTAACTCTACATGGTAGTCTGAAGTAGTCAGATACCATACTTAAGTGAATAAACATAGCTGTATTTCAATTAAAACTTTATTTACAAAATCAGACAAGGGGACTGCAGGCCACAGTTTGCCATCTCTTGATATACAGGAAAATCAGAACTTCTAGTTACCCATCTTAAACCTTAGGTCTTCTAACAAGTATAGCAGCACTCTCTGAGTGCTTCTATTTAATTACTTGGTTTCAGTGATTCCCCCAACCCCACGAATCACAAATTCATGTATTTTGGACATACAAATATCAGGGTCAGTATTCCTACAACATTCAGGAATTCTTGAGGGTAGAAAGGATGTAGACCGTCCCTCTCATTTGGTGCACAAACTAGCAAGAGGTCAGTCAACTCCTGTTCAAACATTTCTAACAGCAGGAAGGATTTTCACTTCTTACCAAGACAATTCCATCTTTGAACAGCTCTAAGGTAAGATACTTTACTTTTCTTCCCAGTACATGCAATCACCTTGTTACTAGCAAATGTGTTACTGAGTCTTTTGCCAGAACATAAGATCCATGAGGTCAGGAAGATGTTTGTGTTGTCCACCCACGACTTCAGGAATAGTTTTCCTTTGTCTTTATGGTGTCTGTTTCATAAATGAGTTGACATGAGAGATATTACTGGGATTTTTCCTTATATTCAGCCACTTCCATGGCCACTACTCATTTCCCAGACTCTTCTTCCCCAGAGTGCCTTTATCTATTCCCTATGCCATGTAACCAAGACCACTAGGTCCCTGCTCAAGTTCTCACCTCTACTGCTCCTCTTTCATTGGTACTCTCCACTGTCCTCACAGACACACGAAGGATTGGCACCCAAAATCCAGAAAAGGCTGCCAAAAGGAACTAGTTGTTGATCAAAAGTTTGTTAAATCTGTTTATTTCAGTGCTTCAACCTTACGTCAGGCACTACTTCAACCAAGAACTTTCTCAAAGTAGAAATACAGTGTGATGAAAAAAGGACCTACTTTGGAAATTCAGTTCTATCATCTGCTACCTGTGTGAACTTGGAGAAATTATCTAAGCTCTCTTAATTACTTTCTTGCAGTGGTAACAGCAAGAAGGGAAAGTATGACCCAGGCCTGTAAAGACCACCCAGGTTGGTTGACTTTAAAGGAGAAAACATGTAACATTAGGTGCTCAGCCTAATGTCTGATTCATAATAGACTACCAACCAAGACTACTTTTCTTCATGTACAGGGGTGGAAATCTGTACAGGCTTCAGAACCCACCCAATTCCATTAGCATACCAGACTTCACTGTGTAACATACTTACCATTAGGTAATGTAAGCTTTCTGTGAAGACTTCTGTTTGCTCCCCCAGTGTTTGCTGTCTTGGACAGTCACTATCTTTCAATGGTACTTGCCTTTGACCTGGATAGAATATAAAGAGAAAGGAAAAGCTAGGTAAAGCATGAATTACACTAAGGCTGAGCCTGACCCAAAGGCTTTCACATACAATGAATGCAGCATCAGAAAAGGGGCAAAGAGATCTGGATGTATATCCTGGCAGTGAAGGAACTAGGAATGGGAAACAAGCTCCATAAGACTTCCCTATTATCAGGTGAAAAGGTCCCTGGGGCCAAGCTATCTTTACTTAAAATAGCAAACCTATATTCCCTAGTATTCTAAACATGTATATGGGATTTTGAAGCTGGGAGGCATTTTGAAAAACGAACTAGTTAAATGCCCTTTTGAGGAAAAAAACTGAAGCTTGGAGATGATGAATCACACAGTGACTTAGGGGTAAAGCTGGAATTCTACTAAAAATAAGATGTGTAGAGTACCTATTACATCCTGGGCATTATGTTGTATATAAGATGGCAATATGATAATGTTATCTCACTGTACAGATATAGAATCTAACTTTCAAGGAATAAAATGACTTTTCTAAAGCTGTACAGCTTGCTTAGTAGACATAGTTGGGATGTCTTTCTGAAAAAGCCCCTTCACCATGCTGACTCTCCTTTTACTGCCCTCTTGACTCAGTCCTCAAAAGGGTCCTGAACCACCCAATATCAGTAAAAACTAAACATAGAGCTTCTAACCACTTTCCAGTTTTGAAATGAGCAGCTTCCTATGAGAGAGCTGAAAAGCCAACCAACTTGACTAAACTACTGCTGAAGTTAAAGAAGAGTTACTAGAGGGAGACTTTTTCTTCTTCCCCTCTCTTGATGAAGAATGAAAAGGTAGCCATCTTCTAGCTTAGTATTAACCGAAAGTTTTTGAACATGGTCTCACATTCAAACATCCCTTCCTTTAATCATGACTTACCATCCCAATAGACTACCCTTGGCCTCCTTACAAGACTACTGGTCTCTTGAATCTGTGTTCCATGTCCCTAAAATATACACACATCACAGAAATCATGCCTGCTTCCATTTAAGAGATAGTAGGTTTTCTTCCAAATGGCTTACAAGATGAGGGCATGGACAAGAGGTGGCTCAGTGGTTAAAAGCACTGGCTGCTCTTGCAGAATATCTGGGTTCAGTTCCCAGCACCCACATGGCAGCTAACAACCATTCTTAACTCCAATTCCAGGGAACCCGATACCCTATTCTGACGTCCACAGCCACTGAACCATGTGATGCACTTGTATACATGTACACAAAACATTCATGCACATAAAGATAAATCAATCAAAAATATTTTTTTTAATTTGTTGTTAAATTTGTTATTAAAGCCCTGGGGGCCTTTTTCTTCAAAACACTATGGAATACTAAAGTCAAGCAAACAGGACCTCCAGATGGGCCTAACTGGGGGAGCAGGGGTGACATCTCACTGTGTAGTCCAGACTGACCTCAAACTTGAGATCCTCCTGCCTCAGCATCCTGAGGGCTGGGATTAAAAGCCTGCACCCACCATGCCTGGCTCTGATTTGCTTTTAATTGTCTACACTATCTCTCTATTTCAGTGGTAGAAGCAACGTCTCCTTTGACGAACACCATTTACTTCTCACATCCTCAGTGTCCTGGCCTCTATCCCCAGAAATAACAGGATGACTGTAGACAAGTGTCTTTACTCACTTTTTTTTAAAGTTACTTTTATTTACTGTGGGTGTATGAATATGTGTGTGGGTGCAGAAGTGGAGGTTCCCTCCATGTGGTATCCAGGGAATGAACTCAGGTCATCAAGCTTGATGGCAAGTACCTTTACCCACTGAGCCATCTCAATGGCCCAGGATGACCAAACTTTAATCCTACAGCCTCTTCAGAGAGCTTTTTTGTTGTTCCTGCCTAGGGTGTAAATGGTTATTGTGTGCATGCCCATCTATCCAAAGCAAAGATGAAAGAAAGACTCCTTAGAGAATATGGATGGTCTACCAACTGCCTCATTTTCCTGAGGAGCATGAATGCTTTAGAGAGGAAAGACTTGCCCAAGATTATAAAGCCTGTTAGGAGGAGCACAGTTATATCCTTTTGTTCTCAGAATACTTCTGTGGTGAATGAAAGTACTATTAGAGAATTCTGCTTCCAGTATCACTCTCTAGTGATTACATATATAAACTGGATAAGATACAGAAAACAAACATCTGATGTGATGGAGAACTGAAGGAGGACTGGCATGGGCTCTAGCCTGAGGGCATCTAGCTGTAGTGCTAATTAAAAAGCAAACTCCTGGTTTCTGGAGCAGCCAGAGATAATGTGAGAACTTGGCCCAAGACTGGCTGACCCTGAACTATACATGTACATGGCAGAATCCAAATATCTCAGCTAAAAAAAACTACAAAAGAACAGGACAAAGATTTAACTGCCACCCCTATAGGTATGACAGAGCTTGCAGTTCGAATCTGATTAACTAACTGCCTGCTAAAATAAAAGCACCAACCCAAACCAGTTTTTACAACCTAACAACCAAATGTGAAAGATACAACCCAAAGTTATGTAGAGAACTAGAAAAATGCAATCTAGTCATTAAAGAATAGGCAGTTGTCACAGCACAACACCAAGATGGACTCAGGTTGAAATGACCAAACAAGGATAGAAAATACAAGTAGCATAACTAAGTTTAGTAAAGTAAAAGAAATGCTAAAAACTAAGAGGGGAAAAGTGAATCTTAGGAGAGAAATTGAAAGACTTTAGAACAGAAATATGGTAATCTAAATTCTTTTTCTCTCTCAAAATTTTATGTGCATAAGTTTTTGCCTGTGTGCATGTGCATGGTGTGTATCATGTGCATGAAGTGTCAACAGAGGCCAAAAGAGGACATTTGATTCCCCTGGAACTGGAGAAGTTGGACTGCTGTAAGCCATCATATGGGTGCTAGGAACTGAACCCAGGTCCTCTACAATAGCACTGATTGCTCTTAAACACTGAGTCATCTCTTTAGCCCCTACATTCTTTTTTTAAAGACAGAGTTTCACTATGTAACCTTGACTGGCCTAGAACCCCCTTATGTAGACTAAGCTAGCCTTGAACTCCCAGAAGTTCACCTGCCTCTGCCTTCCGGGTACTGGGAACTATAGACATGCAAAACCATACCTGGCTAAAAAATTTTTTTTTAATTTGTACAAATGTTTTGGTGTTATGCCTACTGGTATGTGTATAGTGCCCAGGAAGGCTGAAAGAGGATGACAGAGCTGCCATGTGGGTGCTAGGAATTGAATCAGGGTCCTCTGAAAGAATAGTAAGTGCTCTTAACCTCTGAGCCACCTCTCCAGCCCCTAATTTTTATTTATTATTTGTTTATTTATTTATTTTATGTGTATGCGTGTATTGCCTGCATGTAGCTAAGTGCACCTGTTCCCTTCAATGCCTGTGGAGGACAGAATCTCCCTGTTAGATTCCCTGGAACTGGAGTTAAGGACAGTTGTTAGCTGCCATGCGGATGCTGGGATTCGAACCTGGGTCTTCTGCAAGAACATCCAGTGTTCTTAACTGCTGAGCCATCTCTCCAGCCCCTAATTTTTTTTTTTAATTCACTAAGATTAAAAACAGAATGGGAAGCTGGGGAGATGGCTAAGTAGGTAAGTGCTTGCTACGCAAATGTGAGGACCTGAGTTTGGATCTCTAGCACCCCTATAAGAAAACCTGGTGTGGTTGGTAAAAACAAAAACACGACAACCTGATGTAGATGTATAGTACGCATCTGTTACTGGGAAGATCTTGGAGGGGGCAGGTTGCTGGACAGCCAGTCTGGCCAATCAGAGTGTTCCGGGTTCAATAAAAGACAAGGTGAAGAGGGGCTGGCGAGACAGCTCACTGGCTGCTGTTGCAGAGGACCCAACCCAGGTTTGGTTCCCAGCACCCACATGACAGCTGACAACCATCCATAAACTCCAGTTTCTGGAGATCCGACGCCCTCTTCTGACCTCTGCAGGCACTGCACAACACAGGTGCATCTATATACTACATGCAGGTATTACACTCATATATGTAAAATAAAAGAATAAAATATTTTTTAAAAAATGAGGTGAAGAGCAATAGAGGAAGACACTTGAAATTGGCATCTGGCCTACAGACGGATAAGCATGAACACATACACATGTACATCCTGGGTATGCACGTGCATGCATACACCACACACATACACACATGGGGGAGGGGTAAAAAAATCTAAACTTCAAAAACAAAAAGAACAGAATGGAGATGACAAAGGAGTTGACAAAGCTCAAAGAACAACTAGACAAACAGAAATAACTTTGGGTCCTCTGTGGCCTCCACAAAAATCACCATCAGAGCTTTTGCCAGCGTGTACAAAGTAATTAACTGATTAATTAATTAATCTCTCAGAAAAACTGATGCCAGGATATAGAATGACTTCAGATCACAGAGTTAGAGAGAAGCTATTACCCCAAAATTTTATTGAACCCTCATCTTCTTATTAACCTCTTGGTGTCTCCCAGATAAAAGCAAAGAGCATGTGATGGTGGAAAAGGAAAAGGCAGGATAAAACCTAAAACCCAAGAGAGCCACCATGTCCAAAGTAGCTCCACTGCATTATTGGGAAGCAGGAAGAGTTGGGTTTTTCCCTCCAATTGCTGAGGCACCACTCCGGCTGTTCAGGCAAAAGGCTGAGGCACCACTCCGGCTGTTCAGGCAGGACAAGATGGGACCAGTGATCCTGAAACTACTTCTTGCCAGGTGCTTGGTAAGAGTAAATCTAATGCCACTCAAGTTTGTAAAGCAGTCAACCTGGGTACCCTTACTAACTCCACATGCTCAAGTCACTGCATGTTGGAGCTGAGGGCAGTGTAAGTACAAATGGAAGGGGAAAAAAATGTAGCTTGCAGAAGACACATTAATTTTGGCAAGTCTGCATTTTCCTCCCCACTCCTGCTCACTCCACCTCCCTGAATAAGGAAAGAAGAGAATCCAGAGCAAGTGACTGCTTCTGACTTAAGTGGGGAACTGAGAAGAGACAACAGCCCTCAG